TATTAAAATCAATTTATAAATAAATATTTTTAAATATTATAATTAATTATTTTAAAAAAAATTATAAATAAATAAAATAACAATTAAACTAAATAAATTTTAAGTGAGTTTAGAAAAAATAATAAGTGATTATCACAACGTAAATGATGTTGCTTTCTTGGGCGTTATCATCAATCTTGCTACGCTTCACTGACAATAGTCAATGGCAGTGTTTTGATTTTCTTTGGCCGAAGGGTTGCAGTTACATATTCACATTCAACGTGGGGCCAAAATCAAGATTGATTATTGGGTAGGGTTTATTTTATTTTTATATTAATAAAACTCAATTTAAAAAAAATTATATATTAGTTTTTTTTTATGTAGAACCCTTTAATTATAAATTTTTAAAATTAATTAAATTAAAAAATAATTTATAATTTTATATTATTTTTATATAATTTTATATATTATTTAAATAATTAATTATTTTTATTTTTATAAAATTTATAATATTAATTTTATTTATTTATTTAATAACATATAAAAATTATATTAAAAATTTATTTTTATAATACTGTTTAATTTTTTTATTCATTAGTAATACAAAAATTGGAAAATAATCGTAATACAGAAAAAGAAAGCGGAGCGAACAATTACGCCGCCAAAAGCTTCCGTTTAAAGGTAGTAAAAAATGGGTTAGCGGTAGGTCTTTCACCGAACTCAGGAAGGAGATGTTCCGGTGCATCATGGTATTGAGTAATTGACTGCTGTTTGTCCGACACGTGTATTGTAGAGGGGCAATTTAGGGATTTAAGATATGCCAATCATTGACCTTCGTAATCATACGAAAGGATCTTTCTTTGGATTGACACGTGGCGGTTGATGCGTATTGGGAAACTGGTGACGTTGCCGCGCCGGGGGAAGAGAAAACTGGTGGCCGGTGGGAGTTCTTTATCATTCTAACCGCCGGCCGACGCTGACTTGTTCTTTCCTGGGTTGAGTTTTCCCACTCGGTTCTTTTTTAAATCTGAAAAAAATTTAGGAAAATACGCAAATAAGGAAATAAGTTGCCTAGATTAGAGTCCTGTAGGGGAATAATATGCGCATTATTTACTCTTTTACATTATATTTGATT